TTTTTTTTCTTATAGTAGACATTTCAAAGAATATTTTCGTAAAAAAAATAATTCATTTATGTATTTTCATTTTGTTTAAAATTAATTTTAACCTTAGCGTTCCCGTTATGCCCCGGGTTCAAGTATTCAGACGAAATCAGTACCTTTGGTGCACGTGTATCGTTATTAAGCATTCGTATTTTATTCTGGCGAACTTCGTGAGATCCTTAACGGTTACTTCTATGAAGCTGTTCAGCAAATCCAGGAACCACTGATTGGTCCTCTTCATTATCATTCTGTCCCGTTTGGCAGTTACGATTGCTATCTCGGAATCGCGTGTCCATAGAACTTGCAACGCTAATAGGCCGACCTGCGGAAAGTGAAGTGTTTTGAAATTGATGCGCAATTTTTGCCAGGTGAATACACGAGCTTCGTGTGCACATCATCTTACTTGCAAAACGGAATTTTCTATCAATAACAAGATGTCAAATTCGGGTGTGCGAAGTGATTGCAGTCCTAGCGAAATCACGGCACCGACGGACTGTTGGTGGACTGTTAATAAAACATTTAACCAGCTCTCCACGCCTCCCGCGCACGCGACTTCTTTTTCCAACACTATTTGTTCGTTTTCCCGTGAATGCATTGCTACAATTTTGTCGTATTCCTTTTCGGAGAACTTGAGCTGTGCACACACACACAAAAAATGCCATATGTGATAAGACTTGCGAGAGAAGTAATTGCCTCTATCTCTATCTTTATCTTTAATACGCAACAAGACGTTGTCACACTTTGATCTCTCTAACGTATCATATCTCATTACTTTTGCCACATTATCGAAAAATCCATCGAGATAATTCTGTATCGTGTGACAATCCGCTGCCTGCCCAAGAATCTCCAGCAAAGTAGGATCTGATATAAAGCAGAATCTTGGGAAAATCACTCGCTTGGTTTCCAGATAGCTGTGCCAATGAAATTTCGCCCATTAGATTTGACAGTCTGCGAGCAGTTACTTGATTCTACACAATAATATATGTATACCCGCTGAGAGATTTCTGACAAGATTCCAGTTGCTCCAGTAAATACGGCAAAAACTGGCTCATCGTTTCATCCCCCGTACACGTTTCCACCGCGTTTAGTTTCTCATGAGCGCGAAGCATCAGCTTGACCCAAGCCTTATCAATCGTCTAAAATGCAACAACACACGCTTACATTATTTCGCTGATAATGTTGATAATCGCAAGTTTCTCGTAGAGTACATTAAAGCGTTTCGCTTCAGTAGGCAGTTGCTTCGATATGTCGCCGCCAATAAACACCGCTTCCAGATAAGCCCACAGATTCTGCACGGTTAACCATTTCGCCAATATCTCCGACGTATTGCTAAGCTTGGTCTGCCACAGCTGAATCTCTTTCTTAAACGGCGCATTGTAACTGTACAACATCGGATATGAAACGCAGCGTGTATTACAAGGGCTAATAATTTCGGATTTAGAGATATATCTGATATACCGATTTGCCAGTAAAGAGCTTATGATCATTAAACTGTCCTCCAGTTGCGCTATTATTTCAGCCGTCTCGATACCTTTCAGCAACAGTCCGCCTCTCTGCTTGAAGTGGGCAAATTGCAGATTTATAACGGTCCAATCCGCAATTACCTGCTTCAACTTAAACTCGATGTCCTGTTCCTTCACCGCGCTAATACATATGTCCTATAATTATGAGTATGTTTGTATTCCATTGTAATATATTATTTTGTGAAAGACGACATTAAGTGGCACCAATTGAAAGCGGTATTTTTATACGCACCTCCACGTCGTCTTTGTATTTCAGCAGAGGTGCCTGCATGACGTTTGCCAAAGTGAACGTTTCCGATTCCACGTCGAAGAAATATTGGCAGAGCTTAGACAGTTTCTCCCAATGTCTGTCTTTCATGGCTTTGTTAGCCATCATCTCTAACAACGGGCACATCTCGTTAAAGTCGTCGATCTTCTTTTTCAAATCGATATACGCAGGCCACTCTCTCATAGCTTTAGGCAACTTTCGACATCTGAAATGTTACGCAACGTTGTCGTAAGAATTTTATAATATTGTACGATTTTATCTCTTTTGTAAGCTAGTTTGGTGTACTTGTTTTGGAAGTCGGCCAATTCAGTTATAATTGACTCGACGTCAATTTCGGACCATGGAATATCATAATAGCTATCGATAGTGCGCATAACTTGTAAATACAATGTGTATAACTTCTGCAACAAGTTAATTTCTCTTTTTCTCTGTTGTAGAGCTGGGTACTCCGTTACTTCTATACCGAACAGGCTTTCGCCGCTGCTGTAAGTTTCATATCTTTCCCATAATTCTTCAAAACGCGCTTGGGACAGAATAAGTCTTGAAACAGGTGGAAAACGATGTTATCAACGTATGAATCTCATGCAAATTAAAGAATTGCTATTTCTGTAGTTAGTTCTTAATTAAAATACATGCAATTTGCAAGAAATTAGTGAAACGTTGTACCGTTCGCTAGCTTCCTTTGCAGGTATTCCTTCAACCATCGGGCCGCTGAGTTCAAAATCAATGTCAAATTGAGCTACTTTCTTTTTAAGAGCAGCAACTCCATCAATAAGCTCCGTTTTCAATGGCTCCTGCATCTCGCATATAACTGCTTGTACTTGTTTCGCCTATAAAAATTAAGATATCACTTACTCGCGGGACAAAATGAACATAATTATTATTAATGTTCGAAAGACATTAAGCAGAAAATAGGTTGCTATAATTATAGTAGAGTAGAATAAATATTAAGCATTGTTAAAAAAGAACTAATACTATATTGAGCATGTTGCTAAAATTATATCTCAGTCCGTCTACTACATCTTGATCCTCTTTTAATATGTCGACATTAAATTTGCCCATTAATGTGTAAGTTTCTTCAATTAGGATCAGCTCCATGTCTAACGACACGAAGTCATCTCGTATTTCTCCCAAGCATTTCATTGCAACTCTAACATCCTCCAAATCTTTAATGTGCCTGGAGAGAACTTTGTTCTTTTCAGAAATGTAATCTGTTATTTTTTGCAACTTTCCCTTGTATTTATTCGATAAGGAGACGCCCAAGGATTTTTTCCACGCGTTCGCTTCAACGAGGAACGCTAATTTTAATTTGTCTATAAAATATAAATTATCAAATAACAGTATCACTATCAAAGTTAAAATTGTGTTTTTAATAGCATTAATAAAATAAGACGTTTTTACATAAATGTCATACGGTAAATACAAAAATAAAAGTAAAATGTTCGTAACGCGTCATATTTTTATATTGTGGGAACATAATATAATATTAGTTTCGAACGATTCTTTATGTATCGTAAAGCATGTTAATTATTTGTTGTTTATATGTAAATTTTTGAAAGCAGCTCTGAAATTAAAGGAAAAAGTTAATCTAATAACGAAGTAAAATTAAAATAAATAAGCAAATTTAGTAACAGTAGGAAAAGTTTGCATTATATAATATAATAGAACATTGAGCCACTATAAAGCCGGCATTCTTCTCATAAAAGTGAAAATGTGTGTTAATTAACTGAAGGAATGCAAATGCCTCATATTTACGTGAAAGAAGGAGTCGAGTTTAATTTTGTGCAAACTGAAACATTTCAATTTTTCCACAAGTGCTGTTGTAGAGCTTTTACATTGTCGTACTTGTAATTGTGATATACAGATTAACAAAAAATAGATGTCTCAATTTGTGTTAGAAAAGACTCGGTAATTAATGTAATCCTTAGAAGCAAAAAAACATTTCTTTAATCTAAAGTATAAATAACATAATTATTACGATTATTCTATAATAAACAGGAAACACAAAACGTGCTTGCTAAAACCAACAAAACCGCGAGTGTTTTTATGTACCTGTATTAATCTGAAGAGGCCCAAGTATATGCCGGTCAGGTAATTTATTTATTTCCTCCATCAAATCTTCGTACTCCATAAACTTCTCTTTGATATCTTGTATAAGAGGTGTCGAGTCAATAAACGCTTGTACAATTTCATTTCTATTTTCTGCCCATATATAGGAATATCGTAAATATGACTGTAAAGATGAATAATTATGTTAGTATAAATTACAAATAGAGGAAAGTTCTCAAATATGAGTTATCCGATTTTCGACGTTCAAATTTATTAACAAATCTTTTTCGCAA